GAAGCTAGCTAATTGATGTGACATCAAAGGAAGTAATAAATAAAGCTAGTATAACAGATTAAAACCCATTGAATAAAATAAGAAACCATGCGTTCATTATGACATAATAAATAGGTGAATAAATTGAAAGTTTGATGAGAAATGGAATCATTATAAAGGTAAAAGTAACCTCTCCACCAAAATATATGAATTACAGAGGGAAAAATAATAACTGTATAGTGGAAAACCAGACAGACGCCTCCTTAATACAATGATCAAAGTTAATATCATCGGTAACGAGACAAGTCAAAATTGTCAAAATCCTAATAAAATTTTGTGTCAGCCAGCTTCTAAGAAGGTGATCCTCCCCTCCTAGTATTCCTGCCCTTGTCTGACCTGTGTCGCCAACAGAGTGTTAGAGAAATGATGGTATGTGAAAGACATTGCTCACTCTGGGGGGAGCCAGTTGCCATGATGTAAGGACACTCAAGCAGCCCTAGAGAGACGGCCACGTGGTGAGGACATGTTCTTGCCCACAGCCAACACTAACTTGCTAGCCATGTTAGTGCACCACCTTGCAAGCAGATCTTTTAGCTCTAGTCAAGCCTTCAGATGGCTGCCGTCCTGGCCAACATCTTGACTGTAACCTCTGGAGAGCACCATCCAGCTAAGCTTTTCCTGATAGACTATGTGAGATAATGCTTTATTGTTTTCAACTACCCAGTTTTGGGGTAATTTGATATGCAGCAGTGAACAACTAATATAGACGTAGTGAGAAGAACATGGATGGCATCACTTCCATGATATTCCTGCCAAAGATGCATAACCTGAATCTGGTCCTAATGAAACATAAAAAATAAATAGTAATTGTGAAGCATTCCACAAAATAACTGGTCTGTGGAGTCAAGACATAAAAGTTAAGGATAGACTGAGAAACTGTCCAGAAGTGAAGGAGATTAGAGACCTGAAAACTTTCTTTGGGATGCCTGATTCTGAACTGACTTTTTGTCAATGTTAAAGGACATTGTTGGGACAATTGGCAAAGTTTGAAGCCTGAGGATTAGATGATAGTGATGTGTCAATATGAACATTTTATTTTGATGATTTTATTGAGGTTGTGCAGTAGAATATACTTGTTTTTAAGAAATCACACTAACGTCTTTGGGGTGATGAAACATCAGGTTAGTAACTTACAAATGTTTATTGCAAAAAAAGTTATTTTTACTGTACTTGCAACATTTCTGTAAGTTTAAGATTATTTAAATTTTTTTAGTTATGAAAAAGAAAAACATAATAATACATCGTAGAATATGCCTTTGGCCATATTGTCCTTTTTAAAAGTGATGCATAGAATTCCAGTTTTGTAAGTATAAAAAAATTTATATTGTTTTTACCAATCTCCTTTTGATGGGTATTTAAATTGCTTCCAGTTCTTTGCTATTAGAAACATCCAGTTCTTTGTTATTATGAACAACACTACTAAATATCCTTATAAACATATTTGTGCTTTATTCAGTCTTTGCCCAAGAAAAAAATCCCCAGAAGTCAAATTGCTATGTGAATGGCTATGCATCCTTTAATCAGTTTAATCATAAGTCATTCAGGGAAGCTGCATAAATTCTTCTTAAAACAAAATGAAATTTATAATTTGGTAGTTATTTTTATTTGTTTTTATCCAGGAGAAAGTAATTTCTATAAGAGTGGGAACTTTAATCTATCTTGATTATCAACATCCCCAGCATTCAGATAAGTCCCACGCACTCAATACATATTTGTGGCAGCAATAATAATAATGAACATTTATTATGTGCCTGGCACTGTTCTAAGGATATTAATTGAATTTTTCCTGGGAACAGTCCTATGATTATTAACAGTCCTATGATTAACAGTTGTATGATTATTTCCACTTTGCAAATGAAGAAACTGAGGCAGAGAGAGGTTAGGAACTTGCCCAGTTTCATACAGTTAGTGAATGGTGGAGCCAGGCGTTAGGCAGTTGTCTTTTAGTTTACAAGTAACTACTATGCCATACTGAGTCTTTCATTGAATAAATGAATCAATGAAAGAATGACCAAAATGGATATTTATACTTATTTGATTTTTTTGCCAATTACAAATTTCAGCTTTTTGTTTTTTATATGAAAATTAGAGGGAATGAGCTGCCTATTCATAAGACTCAAATTAATTTTATGGCCGTCTGGACTAGGCTGTACTTACTACCCAATAATACTCCTACTAGAATTAATATCTGTACTGGTATAAGCTATAAATCATTCTTATCTGAAGGATTTATGGATATGTAAACAGAATATTTGTTTTGTATTACAAATAAAAATAGTTCAGTCTGGATCTGCAGCTTGAGTCTAGCAGAAAGAACTTTTATTACTTGTTTTTCAAATACAGATACTGTCCCCCACCCCCTCCTTTGCCCCTGCCATTCCCTATACCTGGAATGCTCATTGCCCACCTCCAATAGTAGAAACTCTAACCATCCTCCAACATCTTGCTCCATAGCCACCCCTTCCACTGAAGCCTGCTTTTACCCTCTCTTTTTCCTTACTCTCTTCTTGAAGTTTCTCTCCTTCCTCAAAATTCCCTGAGTCCCTCTTACAGGGCTCTTACAGGAAGACTACATTCTAAACATGACCTTATGTTACTCTGAAGTTCTCATCTCTCCCTAATAGACTATGTTCTCTTTTAGTTGTATTCATTTTATAGAAATCCAGTATGTATTACAGTATTTTGTACAGATTATGAAATTAAGTCATTTTTCTTTTTCTTTTTTTTTTTTTTTGGATGAGTGTAGGAATTCTCTCAGGGAAATATAGCTTGAATTTTTAAAATATTCAATAAGATGACTAATAAAAGTAGCCTTGAATATTATATATTCCACAATATCAGGAATTCTAAAATAACAAATGTTTAGACATTTTTTAATATGATAATTTGTATTTTGTCTTTAGCGTATAAGACATCCAGAAACAGGAGGTATAATTGGCTTTCATTTCTATGAGACCTTTTGTTCTGTTCATGGTTACAAATATCAACTTTGCTTCTACTCATAACTTTAGTTCTCTTTTCTTTAAGTGAGTGGTTTAGGGACATCAAAAGGTAATAAAATCAAAGAGATAAGTGGAATTTTTTTTCAAAGACTAGTACTTAAGGGTGTGTTCGTGTTAGAGAATTTTAATACTAAATTTGTTTTCAAGTGTTTGTATAACACCAAATCTCTTTGCCAACTGGAAGAACAACTGTCCTTGAATCCTGTTCTGAATGAAATATTAAAATATAATCTCTCTTCACATATATTTTTTTTTATAAAAAAGAAAACTTCTGGGAATGTTAAGTATTGTCATTTGACAGGACTGTACTTTGTTGCTTAGCAAAGGCAATAGCATAGCCTTCAGGCCAATTGTTTCTCTTCCTCCATAAGGAGTTCTTTCCTTTACCCACAGGGTAAGGGCACCACTGAAGGTTTTTATTTCGGAAAAGCTCAAACAGCAAGCCAAAGAAAAAGTTCAAACAAATATTATCAGTCTTTTAAAAATGCCATTGCTTATGTAAATTAACTGTGGTCCTTCAGTGCTGGTGAGCCGCAAGCATTCTTGAATTTGTTGGATATTAAGTCATATTTTATTTATATTTGATGTATGGTATGTGTCTTCTATCTAGAAAGTTCTGACCATGAAAAATCTCATTTAATCTAAGGTTAGTTAGTGCTTTTTTGTTTGTAAGTTTGTTTTGGTTCTGGATTTTTTTTTTTCTTTATATTACCTTCACTGTCTTGTGTTTTCCAGAGTATGTATAATTTAGAGGCGAATGTATTATTGTGAAGTACTTGTATATGTTCTTAATGATTTTTGTTTGTTACTGTTATGTATCTAGCCATTGAATTTATTCAAGATTCTCCAAACCATGTTTATAGTTACTGATTAAAATAAAACTTTAAGAAAATCTTTTTCTTTGGAGGTACAGTATTTTTATATTGTGAATGATACAGTTTTAATTAATGCCTTTTGACTAAAATTTGCAGACTTGTACATAGTCTGAAATATGTTAACAACAGTAAGGTCAAAACATTTTTGTTTAAAATTTAGCCTAGTTGGTTCCTCTTCATAAACTGTTGAGATACTAGTTCTGTGTGGCCTCTCATTTATGTTAATGTGAAGATCTTGAGCATAGTCTTTGTAGATAAAATTCATTTTGGAGCCAGCTAAGGTTCTCCCTACTGTTTCTAATTGTCTTCTAAATCCTCACACTTTATTTGGGGAAGAATATCTTTTGGGAGGTATGCCTTATAAGTAATAAATTATTTTGTATAGTAGATGCAGGATTTTTAAATGGGCATTTACATTATATATATATATATCATATTAGCTGTAGAGTTTTGGTTTGTTTTAAAATAATTCTGAGAACTTCTGCAATTACTTCTGTGTTGACCCTTGGGAGTTCTTGGCAGGGGGTATTTTCTCCCTTAGATCTGTAGCTCTGTGATGCATATATATATAAACATGCCTTTGTTCTCAAAGTCTTTTTCTAATACTGATTACTGTAGTATCCAAGTGCTTTGCCTTAGCCTGTCATAGTGGTTTTTTTTTTTGTTTTTGTTTTTTGCTTGTGCCTTAGCCTGTCATTTGTGTGAATAACTTTGTTTACATTTGGCAAAGGTATTAAGTGCATTTTTGGTGAGAGAAGGGAGTGATAAAGGAAGTAAGGGGAAGAAATCACAAGAGTGTGGTGCATGTGAGGGACAAAGAGGGGGGAAGAAGTAAGAAAAGAAAACGGGAATGGATATGAGGGAGGAAGAGCAAGCAAGAGGCAGAACAGGGGTTGTGCTATGGGGGTTTGTGAAATCTTGGGGGGCTGGTCGTGGGGGAGGGAGAGCAACAGACCAGCGTTTTCCTCAGGCTTGGGCGAAAGCTTGTGAAACTACTCATGTATTAAAGAACCTCAACTGGGATTTGCTGAGGACAAATGCTGTAATGTGTTAGTCATCCATTATCTGCTTCTATTTTTTGCAGGTCCTGAACGATGACTGACGCGGGTTTGTGCGATATCCCTCACAGTCGCTGTCATTCCCGAGTGATAAGCAGCCCGCCCGTCTAGCCCCGGCAGCAGCGCCAACTAGCAGCTCTGGAGGGAGGAAAGCTTCCGCCTGCGGACCGGACAAAAGTACCGCCTTCCCACGGGTTTCTGCCTGCGGCTCGTGACCGAGACACCTCGCCGCGTCCAGCTCGCCGCTCTCGCGGGCGGATGGTGTGTGGCCGCCGCGGGACGCCCGCCGCGCCCGGGCCATGAAGTAGCGGCCGCTGGCGGCGCCGCTGCCCGACCGCCGGCCCCAGCCCCGCGCAGCGCTGCCCGGTCCTCTCCCGGCGGGGCCGGAGCGGCGTGGACATGGCTGGCCGCGCTCGCAGCCTGCTACTTCTCCTCCTGGTGTGTCAGAGCAGCTGCTTGGCTTTCAGAAGCCCACTTTCTGTCTTTAAGAGGTGGGTGTCTGTCGTTGAGGTGGTTTCTGTGCATGCCGTTTAGAAATGGAATCACTTAAGAACCGAAGTGTTTGTTGTTGGCAAGACATACGGGGTTGCTTCTCTTTGCTGAGACGACTCGGAATTTTTAGCACAGTAACTTCTTGTAAAAGTCCCCCTTGCAGAAAAAAAAAAGAAAAAGCCCACTGTATTGTAGCTAAGCTGCCCGGGGCTTTCAAAACTCCAATTAGAAGTTGTGATTTCCAATACTAATCACTCCCTGTTGGGGAGATATTTTAGAAACTGAGAAGTAGTCGCTTAGACTTGAATGTCTTCTTGTTTATAACAGCTCAAAGAACAAAATAGCAAGATACATCAGTGGTGAGGAGAAGCAGATCATGGACTGCAATAGCTCACAAGGAATCACCAAGTTGTGTACACACGCCTCATAATTACCATATTAAATATTTATGCACTTGTACATTTGTAATTCACATCTCAGTTTTTTATTTCCTCCTTATACAACTCTGCCTCCTAGCAAGATTGTGGTTGGTTGTTTCTGGCTAGTTATACTGGCCACTCAATATAGTTAAACAGAAATTTTTACTGGGCTGTGGTTAATATCTCTGCCATTAGAAAATTGGCATACCTGTGATAATTTCTAATGTGTTAATACTGTATCTTCATTAACTAGGAACAAATATATATTTTGATAAGTTTTTATTGAATCTAGTTTTAAATGGAGCCTGCTTGGTTGTGTTGGTTATGTTTTGTTTACAAATTGGGTATATATTGTTCTTGGACTATAAAATGTCATTCTAAGAATGTTTGAAAGCAATATATAGTCATCACATCTTAGAGTTTTCATTGGGTCTCAATCAATAATTTTTAACTTAAGGTCATAAAATTCCTTTTTTTCCCCTTCACATGTTGAGTTGATTCTATTATGTTCAAGAATATTGAAATTGTCTTCCTTTTTTAAGGTTTAAAGAAAGTACCAGATCATTTTCCAATGACTGTCTTGGTACCACCAGACCAGTTATTCCTATTGATTCATCAGATTTTGCATTGGATATTCGCATGCCTGGGGTTACACCTAAACAGGTGAGAGGCATTCTATATTTTATTATTCACTTGTTCTATTTATAATCCATAATTAAAACAAAAACCCTGTATTTATAGCTGTGGTAACTTCTTTACAAGTAGGCATTTGCTTTCAAGACTCTTCAGATAGGGTTAGAATAATTGACTATTTTAAAGAGGAGTAAATCTTTCAGTTAAATTTCATTTAAAAAATTTTACCTATATTGTTAGTTGTGGTTTGAAATGGACCTTGAAAATGTACGTTTTGAGATTCTCTATGGAGTCGTAGCCTCTGTAATACAACACGTAAGTATGCATTAAAATATGAAAAATTATTCTAATAAAGGGAAATGATATTGAGCAGCTGCCTCTAAGAGATTACTTTGTTTAACTACCCTCCCTTCTATCGCAGCCACAAGTTGAAAAATAAAAATGTGTTACTGCCAAGAATTTGAAAAATAAAAATTCTCCATTTTCCAAAGTTAAGAAAACCGTTCATACAGGTGGCTAATTGGGAGTTTTCTTTAGCCTGACTGACTTGTTATGAGAGATATATTTTGAAGAAATAATGGCAGAGCCCACAAAAATATGACTTACAGAGCATTTTGAGTAGAACTAGGTTGTTGCTAGGGCTTTGCTATTTTAGGGACACACAAAAAGCTCAAACCTACTGCTGTCAATGTGTGCAAGGTGTTTCATTAAGCATAAAAAGGCCAGAATTAATTATGCTTTGCAGCCAGGCAGTGCAGGGATTTATGTGTGTCATTAAAAGATAGTCCTCTCCTTTTGAAGGGCTGCAGAGACAGGGAAAGACTTGGGTGTTGTAGAGCTGCAGTGGCTGATGACTCATTGTTGCAGATAACATTCTAGTTTTTTTTTTTTTTTATTTTCTTTAGTCCTGGGAAAATAAAAGTATTCTATTCTACTTATTGGGAATAATTACTTTTGAAATCGACATCCAGAAACTCTAGAAAATACACATGGACCTTTTTTTTCAGGGACTAAGAAATGACATTCATTTATTTGAAGACCTGCGTGTGATCTAATTATCTTTAAATAACCACTTCACCACTGCAAAAATGACTCTCACCCCCTTCCCATCCCCAAATGACCATGCACGTAGCTTCTTTGTGCATTCCATTGTCACTGTCCTGGCCTTTAATTTCATAAGGTCTTTATTTAGTAGTTAGCCAAAAGAGGTGTAATGAGATTGAGAGAAGGAAAGAACAACAGTTGCTCACTTGTGAAATGTTCCTGCTCTTGTCTCTTACTTTTAAAAGTGATTTTCTATATTGCTTAAACTGAGTTTATTTTCTTTTAAAATATCCACAAATTGGTTTTTAAGCACTCTTTTCCCCACAAGAATATCATTATTTTATCAAGCAGTCATTGTAGTTTGTTACTATTGTTGTTTTTTCCTTCTCATTATTTAAGAGTGATGACATTTAAATTATTTAACAATGATAATAATGGGCAACTGTATTGGGGTCAGTAATCTCAGAAAGAGTTCCTAGAGGAATTGATTATAAAAGGATGTGGAGAAGCCCCATCTTCATAAAATAGAATGTTAATTAATTTTTATAGTCATATAACTATGGAAAAAGAACATGCACTGTTTAAATTACCCCTTTTTATTTTGCGCTATCTGTATTCACCTTTGCCTCGTGCAGTGGACATTTGGTGGGCAGCTTTCCTGCAAGAAGCTGGTTGCCTCCTTGCTCCTTCTCTGAGACCATATGGTTCCCAGGAACTGTCTACCCAAGCTCCAGAGGTGGAGCATGTGGACTGCAACTAGTGAATGACTGCATTTTGCCTCTCTTACCACTTTCACACAAGAAAGTATGTGACCCAGACCAGTCAAATCTTAGGACTTTTGCTGGAATGCATTGTTCTGTTGCATGTAAGCAATAGGCTTATAGCGATAGGGTCTGCTGTGTTCATGAGGGAGCCATGCCTAGAATAAAACTAATGCCATAGAAAGCAGTGCAAACAAATTGAAAGAATGTAGATTCTTAGTGACATCACTACTTACGGAGTTTTCAGTTATGTTAGCCTTTCTTGTTTTAACCACATTGAACTGGGTTTTGTCTTCCTTTCAACAGAAACTACCTGACTGGGTAAATGATTCAGTTACTCTACTTGATCAGCTCAGAACTAGCTGTTGAATATTTCTTCCAGTTTTTTCTTTCACTCTCTATTGACTACATGCCATGAGTACTTAAATTGGCCCAGCTGACATTGACATAAAGGTCATATACCTCATAAACTTTTATGAGAAATGATAGACTCTCTATTGAATATACCCAGGAAGAGGCAGATACAGAATCCCTGGAACCTCTTTCCTCCTGAACTTGATGTTCTTGGTGAGGAAGACCCAGAGCTGTGATACCATGAGTACTTTTGGTGAAGAAAGTATGCTTTTCTTAATATGCAGATAAAAGTAGAGTTAACACAGGCCCTTAACAGGAAAGGAGACAAAAAGGAAAGAGAGAAAAATTAAAATATGTTACAGGGAAGAAAGAAAAGGTAAAGGAAAATAAGAGTTAATCAAAAAAAGTCCAAGAAAATAGAATGATCAAGAACAAAAATAAAGGGAAAAAATTCAGAAATAGCTAGAATGTGAAGACAGAACATTTAAAAAATCATATAAGAAAGCAGCACATTTGGCAGTCCCATGGGTCTGTCTCTTGCTTCAACAGTGTTTGGATGGAACAGACCGGGGACTCCCTTTAAAAAAAAATAAATAAAAAATCATAGGAAAAAGAGGAGTAAGGAAAATGTAAAAACAAGGAAGGACATTAAGGCATTAAATGGCAGAGGCTCAAGGAGGGCAGCAATATTTAAAGAAAGAAGGAACAGAGGAGCAAGAACTTGAGTTGATAATTGAGGTAGACCATAGGTGAAAGAAGTATATTTGTTCAACAGATTTTTTTTTGTAAAGTATGTCTTAAGTTTTGATAATAGTGAAAGCTACATCAATAAATCCAATGTAAATCCTTTCCTTGGGAAAGTTGAGATTTTTAGGTCACAAACAATGAGAGTGTCTTGAATAGAGAAACTAGCAGACATAGAATAGAAGTGGAGAGAACCTTAGACAATATAGATAATATAGCTAACTAATTTTACAGGTGGAATACAAGTAGATTAGTGTCTTATCAAAGGTTATCCAGTTATGTCAGGCTTCTGAGTTGCAGTCCATTCTGCATACTATACTATAGGCCTTCAGAGTGGCAGTTAAAAATCATTCCTATTAAACTAGATCAGGTTGAGTCCAGAAAAAGTAGTTTATTAACTGTTTCCATATCAATTTTATAATCAAAGTGAGTTCACTCTTTCTCTTCCCTGACTTAAAAAATTTGAAAATAATTTTTATCCTTTCTTATACATTTACTGTTAATCAGTGTTTTTTCAGTCTTTCAGAAGATTAGAGAGAAGAGTAGACAGCTTTTAAATAGCTTTTTAGCAAAGAGCTAAAAGATCTGGTGTCCAATGTCACTGGCTTCAAACCTAGCAGAGCGACAAAGTGGTAATTTCTTGAGGTTTCTCTTTTAGCACTTTTTCTTTTTTTTTTTTATTCCCTTTCTCACCCAGGACCCTGTGGACTTTGCTCTTACAAACTCTCATATCAACATACAAAACAATTTGATAAACTGCCAGTTTATGGTCACAGTAAGGTGGTATCATCTATTGGACATTTTAACTGCTCCATTGTCTTTGATTTTAAAACAAAGTAAATAAAAGTATAATTACAGTGATTTTACAGAAAGTTTTACTATCTAAATCAAACTTAAATCCAGTGGTATAGAACATAGGCTTTGGGGCCAGGGTGGCAGCATTCTTGTCCCCACCCTTGGACTGTCAACTCAGGTATATTTCTTAACCAGCTAGTCCTGTTCCTTCATCTGTAGAAAGAGTAATAGTTTTCCACCCCAGGAGTGTTCTGTGGACTGAGTGAAGTAACATTCAATTGCCCCAGACATGGTAAGTTCTCAGAAAATGTGCACTATTATTATTACTATTATTATGTGTGTGTTGAGACAAATGCGAGGGAACCTTAAGATGAGAAAGAAATTGGTTACCTTTGTGCTTTCAGTAATAACTTCATGGGGAAGGTAAGACATTGCAATAATTTTGAAAGAGAGGAAAGGTAGCCAAATGAAGAAAGATAGAAAGGACAAACCTAGGCAAGAGAAACCTGGATAAAGTAAGTGAGGAAGTAAATCTTTCAGTATGCTTATTCTTAAATTGTTCTTTTCATTAGAAATGGCCCTGTGATAAGGGCAGTTTTCTCAAAAGCTTCCTACTGCCTGGGCATGGTGGCTCACACCAGTAAGCCCAGTGCTTTGGGAAGCCAAGGTGGGAGGCTGCAATCCAGCCTGGGTGGCAGAGCAAAATCCTACCTCTAAAAAAAAATAAAAAATAAAGAGAAGCTTCCACTGTGATTCTCTTTGCCTTTTTCTCAAATGAGCAATCATTAGAAAATGTTTACTAATAACTAATATACTTTAACTTCTTCATTTCTAACAGAAGAAGGAAGAGATTCCCTTTACCTCTACAATGCATATGTAATCTATAAAGGAATACTGAGAATGGATATGTTTTTCTCAAAGTTCTTATAGATCTTTTATACTGCTTGGAAGAGAAGATATGAAAAGAAGTTTCATCAATATGAAGCCTTATTCATACACACATACACACACACACACGTTTGAAATAAAGCTTAATTTCTTCAGTGTCTGCTTTTTGGAGGACTTTGTACAAAGTCAGAAGTGGTGGCTTCAGTGGCCAGCCTCTCGGAAGAACAGACACTTTTATCTAATGTATGTTCTTTCAAATCTTAGGTTTATATGGCATTTTATTTATTTGCTATTTGTTCAACTTAGGTCCTCTGCATTACAAATGGAAACTAATTTGTAAAAAGATATCATTTCACAAAATTATTTTCTTTGAACCTAATATCTTGAAACCTACATTCATTGAATTTCTTTAAATTAGGATGTGTTAGGCTGTCATTAGTGTAG